ATAAACAATAATTATTATAATTATAAATATAATTAGAATTATTAGAATTCTAGATATTTCTAATATTTCTAAAATTATTTCCCTATGAGTAATACTGTACCATGCTCCTTGTTTTTGCTGAAAACTCATCGGTATTTATTCTCCTACAGTGATACTATCTATGTTTCCAGATTACTGTTACATTTTTTCACTTAGTCTTGAGTATTTGTCCTTGTGCAATACCCAAAAAGGCAGTGTCCTCAGAAGCCTAAAGTGGCCTTATCTTGAAATAATGGGTTTGGATATACAGATCCAGATCTTGAAAATTGCTTCCAAAATTACCTTTCCATCTTTTCTGGTATAACATTAAAATATTTGCAGCTCATGCAATGAGCCAGTCTTTTAGGTGTCCTGGCTTGAAATGTAGCATTTTTAGTATCTGTAGTGAAAAGTACACAGGGGATTACTTCTCAGGATTTTGATGTGGTTCTATACAGTCTGAGTCTTGTGTGGGTCTTGGAATATCTGCCACTTGCTCCTTGTGATCTCTCATCCTTTAGCAAGGAGGATGACTGTTCTCAACATTCTGAAACATGCACATAACCAAAGCTAATATATTATGTATGCTGTATAGATATATTTACACTGATACATGGATTTCATCTGCTCCGCTCACATACTAAATATTTTTGATCGTATGAATATATGTTTTTAATTCATGTAGTAGAAGTGTAACATCATACACACTGTAGACTAGGCAATGCTGTCTGGTGCACTTGCCAGGATGGGCTCTAGAAGGATCGGACTTGTCTGGCTCTGGTTTTGGCTTCTTCATACTTTGTACTTGAGCATGACCAGGTGACAAGGAGCTATTAAATTACTAAATACTAATTTAAAAAATTACTCTGCTTGTCCCCATGTTTGATTTTAATACTTTATGTGCTAATAGGAATATTCATTTTCTTTAATAGCCATTTCTTTGGCGAGGTGTGAGAGGCTCAGAATAACTGTCGTATTCAGCACATATATCATGTTGCATTTTAATAGTTTTGTTAAGTGAGGTGGTCTTCAATGTCAACTGGGAAAATTCAGATCATTCAGTGCCGGGAATGTAGGCATAGATTTTATTCATGCTGTGTTTTAAGTGGAAAGAGAAACAGATGCATTTTTGTTGATGTAAGTGGTGGATGTAATTGTCAATGTTAATCTCCACCTCACATGAAACAGACATTGTGTTTGAGTATCTGAA